CGCTGTCACTTGCGGCCCCCATCTCAATCTCAACCAAGGTATAGTGTCAGATCCCACTGGTAAGGTTTAATTTGGGGCATGGGAGGTGGGCTGGTGAGCTGGTTGTTAGGGCTAGGGGTCACGAAGAGTGATTGAGTCTCCGGATTTGTGGGGGTGGTGATGGGGCACGGGGCGGTGGTTGAATGTGATGGGATGGGGGTGGGTGATGGTGGACTATGGATGGATGGCGGGGTGGTAGGGGCGCTTCGGTTGCCGGTGGAGTCAAATGACAGGAGGTGGCATTGTTGGACGACGTCGAGCGGGCGAGGGCAACCGTCGTGGTGGCCTGCAGAGGCGGAGGTGGTTGGCGGTGGCTATTAGAAAGGGTAAATGTGGCCGGTGTCACTTTGTATGTGTCATTGTGGCCGGCAGGCGGGCACTCACTGTAGTGGATGGGAGGACAATCACTGTGGCCGGTGTGCGGTGGGCAGGCAGTCACTGTGACCGGTGGGCATGCAGTCATTGTGGCTGGTGTGCAAGCAGCCACTGTGACCAGAGTCATTGTGGTCGGAGCCATTGTGACCGGAGTTACTTTGACAAAAGTCCCTTTGTCACTGCAGTGTATAATGTTGAAATTGGTCACATTTTTGGAAATATAAAAAAGATATCACATTTTTATCTTTTATCATCATTTTGTGATATTGAGAACAAAAAAAACCTTTTTTTGGAAAAAATTGACAAAGTCTAATATGGAGGGAATATTAATTAGATTATCAACTTATTACACATAGACCAACATCAATCAAATACGAGTAAGGATGAAAAGTAAGACTGAACTTCGAACTCGTTAAGGAGTATTTAATTTAGTGCCCAATTAAGCTATTCCTCGTTTTAGCGTCTTTATGGCTTTATGCATTTGAATTCGCACACACATTTTCCTCGCGTTGTTTTGAAAAAATAATACCAGAACACACATGATCTGACCTCTTACTTGTGTTGTTGAATACTAGAAAGAAGAATTGAAGTTGATTTTGACTTTTCACAATTTCTTTGATAGACGTACTTTTTGTAGTTAGATTAACGATGTTTTAATTGGATTTAATTTTCTGAGTTGGTCTACTTTTTGTAGTTAGATTAAGGATGTTTTAATTGGATGTAATTTTCTAAGTTGGTCTTAATTTGGTCTAATTAATTTCTAAGTCAGGTATGATCTAATAGATATACTCCTTTCGTCCATTTTTATTTAGTCAAACTTGACTTTTCAAGTCAATGGTGACAAACTTTGATTGATTATATATTTATAAATATAAGTATTAATAGTATGAATATGATATGAAAATGTTTTTTGTTGAAATTATTATCATAAAAGTATAAAATATTTAAATTTTACATAAATATATTACTTAAAATAATTGGTCAAAGTTTATCATTTTTTCTGGAAGAGTTAAAGATAGATAAATAAAAATGGATGGAGGTACTATGTTTTAATGTACATTTGACAACTGTCAACATCTGATATGGTCATTTGATTTACTTTGGTTTGTTTTATTTAAGTGTGGTCTAAGTAGCTATTTCCATAAAAAAAGATGGGTGAGACGAGAAAAGGAAAGCTGACATCATACACGGAGTAAGATTCAAATTGCTAGATATGAACCTCAAGAGTTTACATTTTCTTAACAGTATTTTCCTGTCCCAATTTCCTTTTGATATGAGCAAGTGCTCGTTACGTGTTATATATAGATACATGAAATCCATTGACCAATGCCATTTACTCATTTCTAAACTGGAGAGTAGCAAGTTTATCATCCCACTCGCTAGCTGTGTCTTTCATCCTAGCTTAAGTGTTAATTTACACTTGGCTTTAATGTTTCCTTCTATTGATGTTCTCGTCAAAACAATACTTTTTATCCATGAATTAAAACTTAAGATATACTCTTTAACTACTCAATCTTTAAGTAGTTTGTTATTAATAGTGTTTCTATTTATGGTGAAAGAATTAAAATGTTATTTTCTACATCCTTTTAACTACTAGTTTAAATCAACGGATTAGAATATGGTCTGGAGTAAGAAGAGATCAAATGCATGTTTTCAATTTCCCTTTATTGTGTCCGTTTCATAATCTTTATCTTTGTGAATTGTGTGATGTAGACTCTTTGTTACTCCGTATCATATATGCAACAAAGGAGAGAGAGAGAGCCATTGTTTCAAAAGTTAGTTACAAATTTAGTGATCTTATTTACAAGATAACAAATTTAGTGATCTTATTTACAAGACTGCTTTTTTATTGTTTCCATCACATTAGGAAATAGCTCATTTCAATGAGCTATTAGTTAATCAATGACTCCTAGAAACTAAAGTATTTGAAAATTAGATTTTGTTGCATGGTAGACCTAAAAGGTAAGGTGTAATATTATTACTACGTAGTAGTACTATATAAAAATAAAATGGTCCATTATGCTTAATTGATTTAAATTTAAGTCATAAACAATAGCATTAATTTATTTCACTTCAATTCATGCCAAGAGCAAGCTAAGTATGTGATAAAATTGGGGTGTTTATTTGATCCGTGTACACTTTAATCTTAATATTTTCTCTTATTTATTTTGCGAAACCCCCCAAGATAAATATAAATGAATTGGCCCTCATCATACGTACACTATAAATACATCATATACAAATTAAAAGAATTGACGCAACTAGTAATCTAGTATACTTGGTTGGTGACAACTCCGGTACCCTTTTAAAAATTGGGTACCGTACCTACCATGCATTTGATTAGTCTAAATCATTCTATTCCTTTTAATTTATATTTAATTAATTCAACTGCATCATTCTTATTGGTCCATGTGGACAAAGGTATGGTACCTTAAGGATACCATAGAATCTACCACTTTGGTTTGGCTCTCCTATTCTTTATACTTTTCTCACTTTTCTAATTAACAGGCTGGATGTTTTCTGATCCCGCCCCAAGACCCTCGGGTATTGGCGATTTATCGGGTTAAAAAAAGCATATAAAAAAGTAGGCTAAAGGGTCAAATAGGTACATGAACTAACTTAAACTGTTCAATTAGCCCCTTATATAGGAGGTTCTGCCCGGCCGACGCCAATTGAGGCGGTTCCCGGTGGAATTTTTTGATGCAATTTTTTGAGCATCTTCTTCATTAAGACTAGTTTACTCATACCAAATTTAAGCTAAAAATTCAACCGGGAAGGCAGTCAAATGATTTTTTGAATATAACTGCGCAGTTAAACAGCGCAACACATTTCGGAAAATCATTTGACTGCCTTCCCGGTTGAATTTTTAGCTGAAATTTGGTATGGATAAACTAGACTTAATGAAGAAGATGCTCAAAAAATTTCATCAAAAAATTCCACCTGCAACCGCCCCAATTGGCGACGGCCAGGCAGAACCTCCTATATAAGGGGCTAATTGAACAATTTAAGTTAGTTCATGTACCTATTTGACTCTTTAGCCTAAAAAAGTATTACAACTCCAAAGGATTTATAGTTATCACTTATCACGTTCTTTTTAATCTGTTACCCTCTTCTAGCTTAGTATATTTTAATTTTTTTTAACAAGAAACGATTTTATTCAAAAACATAAAGTAAAAACTACAGTGCATGAAGAAAATAAAAGAAAACATACAGAAAAGGAAGAAAAAACATAAAAGACAAAAGAAACTAGAACCAAGGGAAATCTCTAGACTGTGATTTGGTCGTTATGTTGTGACGTCGTTTTTTTTTCTGAGATTTCGTGTAAATTTTGACTGGTGTGTTCAGACTTTCTGTTGACTGCTTAGTATTTAGACTAGTTTTAGTCTCACAACATATCAGGCCAAATTAGACTTAAGAATAGATTTAAATAGAACAGATTATATCAGATCACCTAGCCTCATACTATAACGTGCATGTTTGGTAGGCATAAATCTCTATCTTCTAACTTTTGTACTATTTAAAAAGACTTTATAAGTTAGTAGTTGTATGTTTGGAATGGAAATATTTGAGTTTTTTAAAAAATTAAACATCTTTTTTGAGAAGCTACCGTGAGTAGCATCTAAGAAAAGTTTGTAGGTTTTATCATTAATTAGTAATAACAGCTTGTCATACCAAGCGAAACTAAATCAAACTGTCAGTTGTTTATCAAACAACTACAATCTTTTTATTATAAGATTCTTTTTTAGTCACTAAAAACTAAAAGCTGTTAAAAAGTTCATAAAAGTATCGTTTTAGTTAGTTGAGTCAAACATCCCTAAACTTAGGTCATATCAAAATAGACATAATACCATATTTTATGAGGCTGGATTAAACCATAGTTAAATAGGTCCGTCCATATGATATCATACTACGTATTATGTAACATGTACAAACCGCACTAAATTAAAAGAGATTAGAGCGGGTCAAATGCATAAATGGTACTTTAACTATTGATAATGTTACATTTTGGTACATTAACTCTTAAACGAATCAAAGCAGTACCTTAACTATACTTAAATGTTTCGAATTGAGATTTTATTCAAACTTTGCGACCAAAAAATCTTGCATAACGATCAAAATTCCATGTGTAGAGTCACCATATAGTGATCATATGGACATAAATAAGGTGAAGTAGAGTTTACACATAGAATTATTGCCGCCACGTGTGATTTGTAGGTCAGAAATTTGAATAAAATCTCAGTTCGAAACATTTATGTATAGTTAAGGTACCGTTTTTGATTTATTTAAGAGTTAAGGTACCAAAATGTAACATTACCAATAGTTAATGTGAGAACAATTGGAGTGATAGTTGAACCCTTGAGTCTAAGGATGCTATTTTTACTTGGATTGAAATTTTCTGATTTGATCTGATAAATGTCTGGTCTCTGTGTATTTTATAACTATACAAATCCAGTCTGTTGTGATTTGGTTGGTCTTATTTGGGACGGACGGAAAACAATCCAAAAAACATCGGAAAACATCCTTTGTACGTACGGAGTATATATCTTCTAAGCATAATTAATAAAGTAGATATCCCTTTTATTACAGAAAAGAAAGCCTAAATATTAGCCACTCCAAGTTTATAAAAAAAGTTTCTTTTCCCCATTTTATGGCCATGATAATGATTAGTTAGTACCTCCGAATCATTGTCTGTTTTAAATTATTGGGAATTGTTTGTGTGTGTGTATATATATAGAAAAATGGATGGAGTGAGGAAGAAGAGATGATGTTAGTGGAAGCACACAAAAAGCTTGGGAACAAATGGGCTGAGATTGCCAAAGGGATTCCCGGAAGGACGGAAAACTCCATCAAGAATCATTGGAACGCCACCAAAAGGCGGCAGATTTCCCGGAGGAAAAAGAGCACCGTCGTGAACAAGAAACCCACCGTCAAGAAGTCAACCACCGTTCTTCAAGATTACATTAGGGCCAAGTGTCTGTTACCGGCCGGCAACCGCAGCAGCACCACCGCAACCGCAACCGAAGAGGAGGATCCAGACGGCGTCAGCGAGGCTTCCTCTCTGTTGACCACTCACCGGACACATGATGAGGAGATGACTTTCATGGAAACCCTGTTCGGGAAAACCTCTCCTAGCAGTAACAGCAACTCGACGGCGACGTTCGACGACGGCCCGGTGGCCGGAAGTGGAACCATCACTTCAGCACCGCCGCCAAAAGCTGAGCAAGGTTGGGGTGCCGACCGGTACATCTCTTATTTGCTGGATGGTGATTGCGGCTATGAAGGGCAGCAGGAGATGTTTGGGATGAACTGCGGCGGCCATGGCAGATCATCATCAAGTGGTGGAGCTAATAAGGATATTGATTTGATGGAATTGATATTTCCTTCTCATTACTCCTAAGCTAGTTGGCTAGTTGCATGATCAATGAAAACAAGCGTCGTGCGTCGCCAAAACCCTCATATCTCATGATCTAATCCATACTTGTTCATGTGTTGTTGAATGTTGATTTGAGATTTTAAGTAAATGTTTATTTTAAGACAACTAAATTAAATTTGGCTGAAAATTGTTAAAGCATTTGTCTCACACCGGAAAGCTATAAAACAATTAAACATTATACTTCACGGCTTTGGACTACTCCTACTATCAGGTTGACCTTTTAGGATGAAATCTCGGGTCTTAACATGGTATCAGAGCCAATTCCGGTTATGGCTTCACGCCTTGTTTAACACTCAAGATTAAGGTAGCTTGTTAAGGGTTTGTCCCGTTTATACACCCCGATATTGTCCAGACCGGTTCGGGCTGAGGGGGCGTGTTAAAGCATTTGTCCCACACCGGAAAGCTATAAAACAATTAAACACTATATAATGCTTTGACCTACTCCTCCTATCAGGTTGACTTTTTAGGATGGAACTCCACGTCTTAACAACCTATATATGCTCTGCAATATTACCATCATTATATATACTTTATTCATATTTTACCTCATATGCTTGAGATAATTCCTGTATAGAAGTATAAAATGAAGTACAATTAGTTTTTGTGCGTAATTCAATCATTCAATAGCACAATTGCTATTAGCGGTCATCTCCCTACGAGTTAGGGTTTCATTCTTCCGCTAACTCGTGAAAGCAGGCTCGAGACCAAGGATGCATTGCTTTGGCAGCCATTGCTCGACTTCTACTCTTGTTTCTGATCGAAGGTCGAGTGTTTGATAAAGAAAAGGCGGATAATCTATGGCGGAGCTTGAGTTCGATTCAACAGCAACGGATATCAACAGAGGATATTGTCAATCAATACAAAATCATGGATATTGAGGCGGATGAGCGGCGAGTGCGTCCTCCTCCTGAGCCGCCGCCATGGAGTTCAAGCGAGTCTAAAGTTTGGAAGAAGATGAGTGAATTCTGTTTTAATTCCGTTTTATTCTGTTTGTGTTTTTTTTTCGAATTGCATGTTGTTTTGCACGTGTTCTTATTTCTAGCAGAGAGATTCTAGAATTTAAGTCAAGTGATGAGAAGTCTGGTTTGCCTGTCATTGGCTCAGTTAAGCCCATTACAGGATCAACGAATGTTATTGCTTCTACGAAGGTGATAGATTTTAAGTCTGGTTCGAGAGCAGACGACAGACAGAAGACTTTTTATCATTTTGTTTCATGGTTTTTCTTTGATTGTATTATCAGCCATGTGATGAAAGTTTTGTTGATTTAATATATTTGTTGGTTTGACGTTAAAAAAGTATAAAATGAAGTGCGAAATGAGAGTATTTTCCCATTAGTATGTATGTTTTTAAAAACCCTCAAATAAGAGTATTTTTGAACCGTGGACAAGGATACCCTTGCATAGGCAGCAGTCGACCAGGGACTGAGGGACGCCTTTAGCCTTTTGGGGATCGTAGAGAGAAAAACACTTAGTATACTGTATATGTACATCACATTAAGGTGATTTCTTATTTCTATAACATAAACTAGTGTAACACCCGGGGCATGCCCCGGTAGTGTCACTTTGATAAATACTACTCCGTACAATACTACATCCATCCCATTTTATGTGTCTTTCTTTAGTTGGACACAATTATAAATAAAATGGTTAAAAGTTAAAAGTTGTAGTTGATATTTGAGTATAGTAAAGTGCAATGGTGACACTTATTTTGAGACAACTCAAAAAGAAAAGTAGGACATTAAATTGAGATTTGAGACAGAGGAAGTATTAAATAATAAATGTCAATAGAGATTGAGGATTTTTATAGAATATGATATTGCTATGATATTAATAAAAACAAATTAATATGTATGCTAATATTTTGTTGAGGTATGAGAATGAATATTCAAAAGCTTTAATGTGCATTAGTCATTGTGGGCTTGAAAATGAATGAAATTATTAATGATAAGGGACCAGAATCCGAATTAGCTAATTGCCTGATTGGTGTTTCGATGTGTGTAGTCTCAGAGTCGAATGATATTTTAATCGATCTTCGTTTTTTTTTTTTGCAAACCATTTTGCTCTAATTTTAGCAATTTGGTTTGAACTGTTAATTCCTGAAGTTAATTAATAAACAATAGGGAGTAATATTTTTTTTATTAACAAATTGGAACTACCATTCAACAAAATTGTTTTAGCGGTGTTATCTATTTTGCTTTGATTTGAAGAGTAACATCCAAATTTATAGAAATTGCTTTAGGGGCTTTGTCTATTTTGTTTTGAATTAGGAAGTAACCTCCAAGTTTAAAAAATTGGAATGGATGGTTTTTTAGGTTCTTGTAACTCTCTCCAAAACACTTCAGATGATTTAGTTTGTCAGTTCTCTCAAATTGAGAGTTTTTGAAAGATAACAAATTAAATGATAATTTTAGCTGAACTCAAAATGAATACGGAGTATAAGTTTAGCTAATATACATTTTAAAAAATTTTAATTGTGATTCCTTTGTAACCCCTCACCTTAAACTCCCAAGCATACCTTTAGATGTCTTTCATATGAAAAATAAAGTAGAAACAAAGTAGGATTCAATTCAGTGTTCAAAATAGTTATTATCTAACCAATAAAAAATATATGAAATTGGCAATTACATCTTGAAAATATAATGTAAGTATATACTGTTTGATATAATAAAACTAAGTTATAACACAATATTGACGGAAGTGAAGTGATACCAAAAAAGTTTGTTAATATTGAAATTAGCTGAATTGTCTGTATCTGCTTAAATTGATGAAAATCAAATTGAATTAATTGAATGTGTTTAATTGTGAAAAAATTAAATTTAAAATGTATTTTATTAGTGAAACAAAGATAAAATTATGAAATAATTATAAATTTATGACTAAGATAAAGAGTGTTCAGAAAAAATGTGACATCTTAATTTAAGTGTAATGACTATAATAGTCATTTGAAATAGAAGTTTGCATGTGAGTATATAGCTAAAATCATATTAGTGACTACACCTTAAGTGTAGTGACTTTAATAGTGACTATGACATTTTGCAAAAAGAAGTGATTATATTGTGACATTATACTTATAGTATCCTTAATTATATTACTGTAAATATGTTTTATATTAGTAATATTTTCGAAAAACTATAAGTTTGTATGTGAGTATATAGCTAAAATAGCCATCTTCAGCACTTCCCTCCAATTCGGCTAGAAAAGTAACTCTGATCTTACTTATCTTGATTATTACATAATTCAATTCGCGAATAAAAAATTACATGTTTGATATAAAAACTTACAGGATAAGGTTGATAAGCCAAATATATAGGTTACCAATGAGCTTTTTATTTATGTATTAATTATTTGGTATGAAAGGAAGAATAGATAGGAAGGAAAATAAATTACAAGATTAAGAGCCTGTTTGGTGACTCTGTTTCTCGGCTAATCAGTCTTAGTAGCCAACTTTTTTATCAAATACGTAACTTTTGATTTCGCCCACTAAAATATTTAATAATAAATATAAGTAAGGTTGAAGTTATTTTTCTGACTGAATGAGTTGAAGTTACTGCAGAGAAGACTATTTTAGCTAATTTCATATAATTTTTCTTTATTCATTAATGAAATGTAATCAATCAATCATCAATCATCATTTACCTCAGTGCCGCAAAGGCTCCCCACCTACGGTGAGGTAAGGGGGGTCGGATGTACGCAGTCTTACCCCTGTACCAAACCACAGCGAGACCGTTTCTGGATGCCATAATGAAAATCGCGTCCACAATTGCAAGGACTGACTGCTGCTTCATAACAAAGAAGAGCAGACAGTTTGGTGAGTCAGTTTACTTTATTCCATCATATTCTCAAGCCAAAAAATAATGTATCTTTGGCTCCATTGCAAATGATGGAAAATTAATGAAGTGTAATAAAATTAAAAAATTTCATTAATTAGCAGAATCCGCCAATCCGCCTAGTCTATTTAAGTCCGTTCTAATCTGATTTGGTCCGCTAAACATCTAGTCCATGTGTATTAATTTTATAACTGTCCAAGTTTGGTCTGGTCTGGTCTGATTTTTTTAAGTCTGGTTCAGTCTGATCTGTTTAAATCTGGTCTAATGTGGTCTGGTTTGAGATTGAAAACAGTCTAAAAGATAAGACTGTCTTGTATAATATATATGCATGGATTACTTGTTTTTCTTTTTGTGAAGGCTCTTATTTTTCATTTTTTTGTTAAAATATTAAAAGTGTTGTACTACGTATGAATTAATATTAGTAGTACTTGGTGAAAGAGTCCACATTAAAAATTATGACCGAACGAAGGAGAGTCTTGGCTGCTATTGAAGAGTTTTCTTTAAAAAAATGCTATTGAAGAGTCCCAAGCAAAACAAATTAATTACGTAGTATTAATTGATTCATTAAATGCTACGTATCATAAAAGTTTTAATTTGTTAAATACGGAGTAATATATTTGTTAATCAATCATTGAATGACACATGAGCATTTTATAACTCAATTTTACTATATAAAACAATAGATGTCACTAAACTTTAAAAGACCATGTGAGAAATACAACATATTCAAAATGTACCATACATATTGTGAATGCCAAAAGAATGTCTTGAAACGCATAGGAAGTTCAACAATGATCACGATAAAAATTACATAAGAGAAGAGATTAATCGTTGAATCCAATACTGAGAATCATATATCTGTTGATTGTCCAAAGTATTGAAACAACCACTCTCTGCTACGTATGTACGTAGTATAATATAATGAATTAGGGGACAGGGGTGGGCATAATGGTTTGGTTTAACCGAACCGTATCAAATCGAACCGAAATCGAACCATATGTAATTTGATTTGAGTTTAGTACTATTTCTTCCAAATCGTATTAAACCGAACCGAACTGAAACCAATAAAAACTAAACAAAAACGAACCGAACTAAAGAAATTTAAAAGAAAACCATCATATATTATTAAAAATTAACAAATCCAAACCGAACCGAACCGAACTAAACCGAACCGAACCGAAAAATAGTACTCTGTATGACTTTTGTTTGGTAAAATTTCCAAAAATAGTAGGCGCAAAAAATAGTATGTCTAAAATAATACTAAAAAAAGAGTTATGGACAAAACAGGGACCTTTTTTCAATTTTCCGTTAGGAGACTATTATACCGTTATTTTAATAGAATCTCACC